CCGGGCGAACCTCAGCAGAATGGAGTAGCTGAAAGGCGTAACCGTACCTTGATGGATATGGTGCGTAGTATGATAAGTTACTCCACTTTACCCACGAGTCTGTGGATGGAGGCGTTAAAAACCGCCATTCATATTCTCAATAGAGTACCAAGTAAGTCGGTGCCCAAAACACCGTATGAGTTGTGGACAGGAAGAGTACCATCACTTAACCACTTGCGTGTGTGGGGGAGCCCTGCTGAGGCTAAAGTTTTTAACCCAAACATTGGGAAGCTAGATCCCAAAACAGTGAGTTGCCATTTCATTGGCTACCCAGAAAAGTCAAAAGGTTTTCGTTTCTACTGTCCTAACAGACATACAAAGTTTGTGGAAACGAGACATGCTGTCTTCCTAGAGGATGAAATGATTAGGGGGAGCATGGTAGCTCGAGAAATTGACCTTGAAGAGAAGCGGGTGTATGCACCCACTCCGATCATTCATGAGCCATTTTTCTCACTACCTGCTGTTGCTGCACCAACAGACAAGACACTGTGGTGCCAGCACCTGTTGTTATCCCGTCTGTGGCAACAATGAATGATGATGAGGAACCTGTGGCTCAGGATCCTATAGAACCTATTGCCACACATGAGGGGGAGCAACAACAGCCTCAAACAGAAAATGTGCCAATTGAGGAGGCCCCTAGAAGGTCTCAAAGAGTTAGAAAATCAGCTATTTCTGCTGATTATGAAGTGTACAACACTGAAGAATTTCAAATGGGGGATGATCCCACCTCATTTGAAGAAGCCATGAAAAGTGATCATTCATCAAAGTGGCTTGAGGCCATGGAAGATGAGATGAGATCAATGAATGCAAATAAAGTTTGGGATTTGGAGATAATTCCTAAAGGAGCCAAAACAGTAGGCTGTAAATGGGTCTACAAAACAAAACTTGACTCTCAAGGGAATATAGAAAGATATAAAGCCCGACTTGTGGCAAAAGGCTTTACACAAAGAGAAGGGATTGATTACAATGAGACTTTTTCTCCGGGCCTCGTGTAAGGATTCCTTCGTAATCATAATGGCATTAGTGGCACATTACGATTTGGAATTACATCGATGGATGTAAAGACGGCATTTCTCAACGGAGACTTAGAAGAAAATGTTTACATGGCACAACCAAAAGGTTTTGTCATAGAAGGAAAAGAACGTTTGGGATGCCTTGGCTAAAGAAATCCATTTATGGATTAAAACAAGCTTCAAGACAAGTGGTACTTGAAGTTTGATCGGCATAATAAAGAATTTTGGGTTTAAAGATAATGTTGAGGACAATTGTGTCTACGCATAAAGTTTAAGAATGGGAAGTTTATCTTCCTTGTCCCGTATGTGGATGATATCTTACTTGCTAGTAGTGATGTCGGTCTACTACCGGAAACAAAGAAGTTTTTGTCCTCAAAGTTTGATATGAAAGATCTTGGTGAAGCTTCGTTCGTTCTAGGGATCGAGATTCACCGAGATAGAAGTAAAGGGGTATTAGGACTGTCACAAAAGGCATACATAGAAAAAGTCTTAAAGAAATTCAAGATGCACAAATGTAGTCCCTCACCGCTCCCTATAGTCAAGGGCTGACAGATATGGGGATTTTCAATGCCCCAGAACCAATATGAGATCGATCAAATGAAAGTGGTTCCATATGCTTCAGCTGTCGGAAGCTTGAAATATGCTCAAATATGTACGCATCCTGACTTGGCATTTGTTACCGGGTTACTTGGCAGATTCCAGAGCAATCCTGGAATAGAACACTGGAAATTGGTAAAGAAAGTCTTGTGTTATTTGCAAGGAACGAAAGGCCTCATGATGACGTATAGAAGATCTGATTCACTCCATATAGTGGGATATTCAGATTCGATGCGCGGAGATAATAGAAAATCCACATCTGGATATGTGTTTACTCTCGCAGGGGGAGCTATTTCATGGAAAAGCTCAAAGCAAACCGTCACTACATCGTCCACAATGTATGCCGAGTTTGTAGCATGTTATGAGGCAACGGGGCAGGTGAACTGGCTAAAGAAGTTCATACCCGGTTTGAAGGTGGTTGACGACATCAATAGACCACTGAGGTTATACTGCGATAATAATCCAAAGAAGACAAAGATGCTCACAACAATAGGTCAAGTGGTGCTGCCAAACACATTGACATAAAGTATTATGTTGTGAAGGATAAAGTCCGGGATCAAATGATAAGTCTTGAGCATATAAGTATGCGAAAAGATGCTCGCGGATCCGCTTACAAAAGGCTTACCACCCAACGTGTTCGAGAGAATATGTAGCCGGCATGGGTTTAAGGAAAGTTTATGATTCTCGGACCATAAAGGGCCCAAAAGTTAAAGTAACTATTTCAGATCGAGACGTGCATTGTAGCCATTAAATCTATCGGCGATTGACCGTGACGATGAGACATGCTCTATGCATCATCTGTGAAGAAATGAGTAAGGATAAAAGGATTGAAGTTTTAAAGTTTAAAGATAAAAGTAATAGTGAGATCAAGGGGGAGAATGTTAGATTGATCTCCTGACCAATAAGCCCAACGGCCTATTGGGCCTTGGTCTCGCGCCCTGATCGGGGGCGCCCAACCCTACATGGTTGGTGGGCCCCCGTCGCACTGCGCTATATAAAGAGGTGGGGGCCGGCGGCTCAAGGGACGAGGTTCACCGTGAGCCGCAAACCCACCGACAAAACCCTAGACCGATCTCGAGAGGGCGCGCAGCCAGTGACGGAAGCTCCATCGATCCTCGCCGTCGCCATCGCCACGCCTCGACCAAGATCGCATCGACGTCCGTGCAACCTCTACTCCACCCGTCGCTGCCCGTGTGCTGCCTCCATCACCGAACCCGCGATGGCTGGCACAACCGCGACATCATCTGGAGGCTCAGGTTCGACACCTTCTCCTTCCTCTAGATAGCTTTCTAGGTCTACATCGTTGCTGTAGTCTACCGCTCTTGATGTCTACCCTCTAGACCGACTGCTAGATGATCCACTGTTTATAACAGCCGCAGGCCGCACTAATTCCCAGATTTAGGCCAAGCTTAAAATCATGATGTAAACTTGCTTAATGCACATACATTATTGTTTTGCTAGTCATTTCGGTGCTTGTGTTGCTGCATGCATGCTTAATTAGCCGTTGCATCGTAGCCTCCATTTCGATATATAATACATACAGTAATATAAAGGCATTATTCAATTACCGTACTTCCTCGAGCATTGTGCAGTGCATGTTCTTGAGCTGGTTCCCTCCCCTGTCTGTGTGCATGCTGCATGCATATGGCCTCAAAGAGTCAAGACTGGATTGCTTAGAGGCGCCGTTCATCAATTGCTTTCTTAAAAAGGCATGCATCAGTGCCTTAGTCAGCACTCAGCAGCCAAGTCAATGACGGAAGTTCTGCACAACTATATTATCAAGTCAAATCTACTCCTGCACTGCACAGGTTTACACTAGGCTGTTGTGGTCTTTGTGCAAGTTTAGGGACCCCTGTAAATTCCACTCTTTCATTTAGTTAGGAGAAGGTTTGGACGGATGATTAATGTTCCATTTACGTGATAAAAAAACACTCCTTCAAGGTTGGTAAAAGTAGTCCGTTTAGACAGCGACACGATCTTCAAAGCATAACTTTGACTTCTTATTTTTATAAAACTATTTATTAAAAAGTGATATGTGTCTATTTTTATAAAAGTATTTTTCAAGGCAAATCTATTCATGTGGTTTTCACATTTTTCAAACTCAACAACTTAAAAGTTAATCATGATTTATGTTCCCATTGCTTGACTCAAGCCTTATCCAAAACGACTTCTTTTAGCAACATGGAGGTAGTATAAGTAACTATTTTTCAAAACAAATGTTTAATGACAAATTGACATCGACTATGTGACTCATTGTTTACATAGAGAATAAATATTGTCCAAAGGTTTGCCAGTTTCATCAGAGCCGTGTAATAAAATTCAATTTGGTACTACTTCATTATATTGGATACCTCATCCTCTAATTGAGTTCGGTCCATTTATTACTTTGGTTTGTCACACAAGTGAAGTACAAGAGCGACAAAGGTAGTGTTTGGATCACTAGTCCAAGTAGTAAAGTTTAGCCCCTAAACTTTACTCCTGCTAGGATGTTTGGATTCATGGGCTAAACTTTAATCCTCTGATCTACAATGACTGATTTGCCCTCAATTAATTATCCATGCACAGCCATGCATGCTAGGCTGCTGGGCGCACGCTGTTGCTGGCCGGCGCTAGCTGCTGCTGGCGTGCTGGGCGCTACCCCGTGCTCGCCGGCGCTAGGTGCTGCTGGCCTGCTGGGCGGTAGCCATGCACAGGCAAGCATGAATGCATTTCAAAATAGTTCACTTATTACACAGTGTCGGTCGGGCTGGCCTGCTGGGCGGTCGGGCGAGCGCGGCGCTGCTCAGTGCTGGGAGCACGGCGGTGCGGGGGAGAACAACGAGTGCGGCGGCGTCGGTAAGGAGTAGGAGTGCGGGTGTGCGGTCGGCCTCACGCGGCGCTGCGTCGCGGCGCTCGGACTCGCGCGGTCGAGAGCGGCGGCGGCGTTACAAGCGAGCCATAGGATAGGGTTGTGCCGCGCGTGGGGAGCGTGGGCAACGACAGGGGTATGAGCCATCCAACGCTGGTTTAGCCCAGTTTAGACCATCTTTTGGAGCAAAATATTTTAGCCCACTTTTTAACCATTTGCTCACTTTTAGCCTTTCTATTTGGATCCGCATACCAAATAAAAAAGAGCTAAAAGTGCAGCGCTGAGGTTTTACCGTGGAATCAAACAGGGCCAAAGCTACTCGACCGCACGGCCCCATGCCGCCATCACCTTAAATCTCCCACGTTCGGTGCAATCACCGACGTGACGAGGACTCCAGCTACAGCTTCTACTGCTCTTCCGGTACACGCAGCCGCGTATCGGATCCAATAAATACCGCGGCACGGTCGTCGGCAAGCACGCACGGTACAGACTGATCGACGGAGATGACGACGAGTGGGGGCGCTGCACGCATGGTACCAAAGCCGGTGGACGATCCGGAGGTGGCGCCAGCGGTGGAGGCGGAGCCGTGGCCATGGCCGGTGAGGGAGAAGGTGTGTCACCAGGCTTTCCTCACCGGCAGCCTGATGACGCTGCTGCTCCTCGCGTGCTTCGTCCTCGGCCGGGAGAGCGCGTCGTCAGCGATCGACCTCGCCAAGCTCACAGCCATGAACAATGGAACAGCAGGTACATACGGTCAGCTCGTGCATGTCCATGTCATTCCCGGGCTTTGCATTCTATAGCACTGTAGCATATCCGCAAAACTAACCTCAGTCGCCACCTGCCTCCAGGGCTTACGACGAACACTCCTCATAGCCGCGGCGAGCTTCTCGGCGGGCTTCTCCCGGCGGGCATGGACCAGTGGGCATGCCAGAGCCGGTACGAGTCGTGGCAATACTACAAGCACTTCCCGTACGCGGCGTCGCCGTACCTCCAGGGCAAGCTGCGCGCCTACGAGGCTCGGCACCGGTGGTGCGCCCCCGGCACGCCGCTCTACGCCAAGTCCGTGGAGCAGCTCCGGTCCGGCCGCAGCGCCGAGGGCATGGAGTGCACCTACGTCGTGTGGCTCCCCTTCGACGGCCTCGGCAACCGCATTCTATCCATGCTGAGCGGCTTCCTCTACGCCCTGCTCACCGATCGCGTCTTCCTCGCCGCCTTGCCGCCGGACTCGGCTGACCTCTTCTGCGAGCCGTTCCCGGGCACGACGTGGCGGCTCCCGGTGGACCACGACTTCCCCATCAAAGACCTGGTCCCGCGGGGGCAGCACATCGACAAGTCGTACACGAGGCTCCTCGACGCCAAGGTGGTCGGCCCGGACGCGAACGCGACGGCGGGCGTGCCGGCGTACGTGTACCTGAGCATGGGGTGGCAGCTCAAGGACTCGCTCTTCTTCTGCGGTGAGCACCAGCTCGTGCTTGCCAAGGTCAACTGGCTGCTGCTGTACAGCGACCTCTACTTCGCGCCGTCGCTGTATGAGGTAGCCGAGTTCCAGGACGAGCTTGGGCGACTGTTCCCGGAGAAGGAGAGCGTGCACCACCTCCTGTCCCGGTACCTGCTTCACCCAGCCAACCCCGTGTGGAGCTTGGTCATCAAGTACTACCGCTCGTACCTGGCTCCGGCGACACGGAGGATCGGCGTTCAGATCAGGATGTACGGCCACTCCTCAATCCCGGCCGATGACATGTACAACCAGATCCTCAATTGCTCCAGTCAGGAGCACATACTACCGGAAACCACCAACGACGATGACAAGGCTGTGACGCCGACCGCGGTGACTGGCGGCGATGGCAATGGCTCCAACAACTCCACGGCCATCTTCATCGCGTCGCTGTACTCCGACTACTACAAGAGGCTGGGGTCGAGGTACTCCACGCCGCACGTGGCGAAGGGCGGCGGCGCGACGAGGGTAAGCGTGTTCCAGCGGACACACGAGGAGCGGCAGGCGACTGAGAACCTGGCGCACAACCAGAAGGCGCTCGTGGAGATATACTTGCTCAGCTTCTCCGAGGAGCTGGTCACATCCGGCCTGTCCACGTTTGGGTACGTCAGCAGCGGCCTCGCCGGCATCCGGCCAGCGATCCTGCTCACCGCGTTCAACCACAAGGTTCCTGAGACGCCGTGCCGGCGGGCAGTGTCCATGGAGCCCTGCAACCTCACGCCGCCCCGGGGCCTCAAGTGCCGGGACAAGCCCGCTAACGAGGAGGACCTGGCACGCCATATCAAGGTCTGCGAGGATTTCAAGGATGGGGTCAAGTTTTTTGACTAGGCGGCGTGGCGTTGTTACTTTTCCATGTGCATTTTCCTTGACCAAGGACCGTGACGCATAAGAGGGTGTGAATTAAGCAACTTAAAAATCTACTTCTAACTATACCTCTAATTCTCATCTTAGCAAAACCTATACAAATAAATAAACTATTTAAATGCGCAACTTTGGTTTTACTATGGTGTTGTTATCTCTACTATAAAAGAGTTATGAAATCAAGGTTACAATTCTATCAACTAGCCTATCAACTATGCTAAGAAAGGTAAAGCACAAAACAAAGATTGCAATATAAATACGATAGCTAAAGATGAGGTAGAGACGCAAACAACCGTCGACGACTCCAGTAATTTTATCGAGGTATCAAGAAACGCGCAAGCTTTCCCTAGTGCTCATTGGAGCCTCTCGCAAGAAAGCCTCCGTAAGGGTCAAGCTCCGGGTCAGGTAACTACGTAGATAGCCTTGGGCCTTTCCCACACGCAAGTGGGTCTCCAATGTGCATTCCGACAAGCCTCTCCCAGAATGCTCCCTGCCCTCTTTACTATCATGCTTTCAGCCGAAACACTGCAGGCCTTGTTCCCTTCATACATGGTGGCTCTAGGGCTTTCGACGACGAAAGCTCCTCATGGTCGCGATGAGCTCCTCGGCAGGCTTCTCTCGGCGGGCATGGACCGGCGGTTGTGCCAGAGCGGGTACGAGTCATGGCGGTAACATAAGCACTTCCCGTATGCAGCATCGTTGTACCTCAAAGACAAGCTGCGCGCCTACGAGGCCCGAGACAGGCGGTGCGCCCCCAGCACGCCGCTCTATGCCAAGTCCATAGAGCAGCTCTGGTCCGGCTGCAACGCCTACATCATGGAGTGCACCTATGTCCTGTGGCTCCCCTTCGACAGACTCGGCAACCACATGCAGTCCATGGTGAGCGCCTTCTTCTACGCGCTGCTCACGGGCCGCGTCTTACTCATCGTCTTGCCCCCAGACTCGACCGACCTCTACTACGAGCCGTTCTCGGGCACGATGTGGCTCCTCCTGATGGAAGACGACTTCCCCGTCGCTAACCTGGTCCCGTAGGGACAAAGCATCAAGCGGTCACACATGAGTCTGCTCAAGGCTAAGGTGGTCGGCCTGGCCACGAACGCGACGGCGAGCGTGCCACCATACGTGTACCAAAGCTTAGGGTCTTAGCTCAAGGACCCGCTCTTCTTCTGCGGTGAGCACCAGCTCGTGCTCGGCAAGGTCAACTAATTGCTACTGTACATCGACCTCTACTTCACGCCATCGCTGTACCCGGTGGCCGAGTGTTGACATCTGTGGTGGCACATAGACAAAATCCACAAGCGCACTTGTATTGAAGTAGTTTTCACCTAGAGTATTATCGAGTATCGTATCCATGGGGATGTCGACGCCAAAAATCCGACGCCGGGAACACAGTGATCAACGCCGGCCACCTTAGCCCAGCGCAGAGCAGATCCCGAGCTTCTCTCTGGGCTTTGGAAGGGCACCACTGGACCAGACGGTCATGACCTCTGGGGGCGTGCCAGTCAATTTGACCTGCAATTGACAAGGGAGCAAGATTGATCAGTAATTTAAGGTGAAACATGCTGGTCGTTTGTCCAAACAGTTCCAAATGTGCGGCCAAGTGGCCAGCGAGACAAGGCTATCGACAAGAGAGTCGATATCCAGCATGTTCATAATGTATGATAAATAAAATGAGCATATCGACAATCATCAGTTAGTCAATTATATAGATCTAACCTGCCGATCATCATGAAATCATGCAAAAGATGTAAAAAGAAAGGTGTGAAAGTATATGATTTGATTGAGAAACAAACTAGCTTTTAACCAAGACAAGAACAAGTAAAGAGCATGTAAACAACAAATATATATTCTCAAAAGACAGGCTATCGGCAAAATAGCCGATTCCAGTGAAAGAAGGGTCATAGCATGCAACCACTCAACTATTAAACGTGTATAAACCAGTACGCCTATCAGATCCAATCTACTATCTTTATCAGTGGGGTTAGACTTAACGAATAAAGCCATAATAAGGATAATAAATTAATCCTTCAAAGCATATGGATCTATAAACGCTTAATGAGATCACGGGAACACACTATGATCGTGAGAGCTCAGGCGATCGGCTAAATAGCCGATGCAGACATAGCATGCAGCCAAAGACTATGCTTGGCCATAAGCAAGGCTTACCACCTGACGATTTCCAATCTATGATGCTAGCAGTGGGGGTCAGACCTAACCGATACAGACATAAAAACACTTCTAGACCGGATTTCGTCAACTAGCAAGACTCACCTAGGGCTAAACATGCCTTTGACCACACGCTATCTTCAATCAGGATTGGAACAGAACGGCTAGACTAACAAGAACCATCGTCAAAGCGGGATGTAAACATTGTAGTACGACGAGATGACTATTCCAAAACAAATATAAAGCCAATCTATCTCAATCTTAAGCGGGCAGGGGATTCGTATTAAAATTCGTACGAGATCAGACTTAACCAAGGGCAGCCGTGTAGATTTTGATAAGAATCAAGGATAACTATCAGCAATTGCAAGAGATCAGACTTAATAGAAGGTAGCCTTACAATCAACTGATGATACCTAACTTATATAAAGCTTGCAAGAGGTTAGACCTAACCGATGTAGCCTTACAAACAAGATATAAGTTGTGATGGATACTCACAGACAAACCGGAGGTCGGACCTAACCGATGCAGCCCTGCTCGCTGAAGAACTCATCGAAATCTACTCTACTCCTACTCCTAAGGGGTGGCGTGAGCCAAGAAAGTAAAGGTATTGATTTGTGTTTATTGGTGGAGATATCCATTACAATGGCCGAGGTTCAACATTTATACCCAAGGACTGACTATGAGTTCTGGTCGAATAAGACCGGTTACAAACTTGAAAAAAAGAAAAACTCCCTAATTTGAGTAACTTGGACTCCAATCTTTCCCTTCCGTGGAGTCCGACGTGTCTTCTTGCTTCGTGCCTCGCTGATCCTACCAACAGGGTCCATTCCCTTGATGTCGCCATTTCGCTAGCTGAACTGGCAATCTGTTTAGCCGATTTGATTGGAGGACTCGGCTTCCCTTGATAATTTCTTGTCTTCAGGGCTTTCCTTTCTCGAACCAAATTTCTGTGTCAACACATGCCCCACCCCCCAATTTCATGATAAAAGTGATTTTATTCCGAAATTGTCTTCTGTGCTATCTTGAGGCCGTCAACGTGTCTTCAATAGGGACCGAGAACTTTACCCTAGGCTCACTAGCTTTGTTCTTCTTTATGCTCTCGGTCGTTTGCATGCTTCATGGGTATGCCACTTCTTTGTTGGCATCCTACGTCCCAAAGTTCCATGGGTGCACTATTGCTTCATGGGTGTTTGGATACATCTTCTCTAGTCGACTATAAATCTCTGATCTTGATGAGAACGACCGAACGTGCCTATCCAGCCATGTTCTTCTTGCTTTCACTTTTCTGAGCGCTCTCGGCTTTGTTGGATCCTCTTTGGACCTACGGTTCACCATGAAAACCCTGGTGGCTAGAAGAATTCTTGTGTTTAGGGTGATCGTGTCTCCCATTTTAGTGCCCTATCAAGCAAGGGAATAAGTCATCGTGGCTAGAAGAAACCTTGTGATATCACCTGAGTCTTCTCACCATCGGTATGAGGCTATTCTAGTGTTTGCAAGGGCTCGAATGTGTGGACACCTTCCCCTTATTTACTCTATCTATGGCGAGAAGCCTGCGAGGTTAACAGTGCATTCTTGATGAATAGGTCTACTCCATTCTCCCCCTGATGCTACTTCCATCTTTTAGCCGATGTGACTCATGCTTTTCGGCTTTGTGGGGTTCTAACTCCCTTCAATCCAATGGAGTCTTCTTGGGTTAGCTACTCGGTTCCGGGTGTAATCTTTCTTGTAATAATCCACCAGGATCCGAGGTATCATAATCATGGAAAGCAATAAATTCTGAATCTGTTGCGTCTCCTAATTCTTAGCAAACTATCCCCTCGATCTCCGGAGTGACAATTCCTTTCCATAACTGATTCCGATTGCGTGGCCTTGAGGAGGCCTATCGTCGCGTCTTCTGGGTTATAAATACGGGCCATGGTCGCGGATGAGAAACCAATCTACCACACCTTGATTTTCTTGCATCCTGAGCGCGAACTGTTCCTCTCATCTTCAGATCCAAAATTGTCATCTTTTCCGTAGAGACGGAGAACAGCAAGCGACCTGCTGTTGAGATTCTAGATGAGTTTGTGCCGCTACACCAGCGTTCTCGTCTCCAAGAGTTAGGATGAACATGGTTTTGTGATCCTTGAGCGGATTAATCTAACCTTTTCATATCTTTAGGGCTGACTCAAATGGTGGCCTTCTTCTCCGCACGATCGTCGGTCCTAGAGGCGCGCAGGTGGTGGCTCTAGTAAACTCCCCCATGGGATCCTCTTATTCCCATGAAAATGACGTCCGCCGACTTCTTCAAGAGAGAATGAGGCCCGGGCATGGTACTCTAATGTGGCTCACGATCTTGGGCGCATGGACTTCCATCTGAATGCTTTGCAGGATGCGCTCACCATCTCAGAGAATAGGGCCAATTCTGCTCAAGCGAGGTTGGCCGAAACCGAGGCTAGAATCACAGGTGAGATTCCTTGCGGCGACTTCTATTCTCACAACCCTGACCTCACAGAACTCTGACTGCTTCTTTTCATCCGCCTTGTCAGCGCAGCTTGAAAGTCTCCAACTGGCTGCGGATTACGCGACCGGATTCGTTAATGTCAGGGGTGCTTTCCCCCGGTGATGAATTCTCTGTCTGACTCTGTGAATGCTACTAACGCTCTTTTCTATATGATTTTGTATTTTTCTTCTATTTATTTTGCACTATAGGCAATGCGTACTGCACCGGCTTTTGCCTTCTTAGGCTGAGTTGAGATCGTTTATTTTTTTATCTAAAGGCGATACTCTACTGGTATCGGCTGTCAGACTTGGCGATGATCCGCACTACGCTAACCCTTCATCATCAGGACTTGAAATCTCATAACAAAAATTGTTTCAAAATAGCCGATGATGATTCAAGTACTAAATCTTTATTAAAACTTAATAATCATCGGCTGTCAAGCTCTGTCGAAGTGTTGTGCAATCCAAATCTGAGTTTTTAAAACAGAACGGCTACATTTTAACTCATAAAAGCAATGTTTAGCCGATCAGTGGTAACCAACTAAAGAAGTCACTAAAATAAATTCTCAGAGCCAATTGTTTGGATCGGCTGTTGACGTCCATCATTGGTTTTGATGACGCCTCCTTCCCAAAGTCTACCAGAGAAGCATTCACAGTTTTCAAATTCCTAGTATGCTGGATCGGCTGTTGCCACGCTTACAGCTATATCAGCTTGAACCACCTCGATGTTGTCTCCTTGCCACTGGATAAGGCATTGGTGCATTGTAGAAGGGATGCAGCAATTAGCATGGATCTAGTCACGACCCAAGAGCAGACTATATGTTCCTTTACCATCGATGACGAAGAAAATAGTAAGCATGGTTTTACTTCCAATTGTTAATTCGACGTTAACTGCCCCCTGGGTCTTAGACGCGTTGCCACCGAAGTCTTTCAACATCATGTCCGTTTCAAGCAGATCTTCTGGGCCCTTCCTGATCTTACGGAAAGTAGTATATGGCTTTAGATTAACAGCAGCACCTCTATGGACTAACATCTTAGTCATCGGCTTTCCATCGACAAATCCTTTTATGTATAAAGCCTTCAAGTGCCGATGCTGAGATGGCTTGTTAAATATAGCTTGTTGGGACTAGAGGGCTAACTGAGCTATTGCTTCTTCCAATTCTTCTTCATCATAATCCTCCCCATCAGATTCTTCTTGTTCATATTTGGAGGGAGCCCTGAACTCTACAGGTAGGATGAAGACCATATCAATATTAGCCGACAGCTTACCCTTGTCGGCTGTTTGCTTGACGCACCATGTCCGAGGTCTACTATACTTCTAAGCTTCCAATTCTCTGTTTCTCAGGCATTGAGCCCTTCTCTTTTGGCACCTTGTTAGACCTCCA